ATACTTGGTAACAAAGGGAACAGAAATTATTAATTAGTACAGGATTGTTAAAGGAAATATTGAGGAATAAATTTATAAATAAAACTGCAACGAGATATAATTTCTAATAAAATTATTACAGCAAATTAAATTAAGGCGAAGCTAAGGCTAGACATTTTAATGTAATTTCTTACAATCCATACTGAGAAAAAGAATGATATTATATCAACAGCATTATTTTAATTGCAAATAATTTTGTTATTCAATCTCACTATTAAGGAAAATACGTCATTCTTGTTTTAATAAAATTGTATTATATTAATACTGTTATTGAGAAGAGAGAGAGAGAGAGAGAGAGAGTCAAAATAAGTTTATTTTCAATTAAAATAATGCTGTTGATATAATGATGTCATTTTTTTTCAATATATAAACAAGGTAATTAAAATTATCGTTTGCAATGTTAATTATTTCTGATTTCTGTCAGAAATAGAAATCGAATTTTTTTAAACTTAAAATCACGGGATATATTTTAATGTTACATCTTTCTCGTTGAAAACTTAAAAAAAAGTGCGTTTTATTCAGGAAAAATAGGATATATGGGATAAAAATAAAAAAAATGCATACCGAAAGAAATAGGACACTCATTATATCTAAGTCTTCAATATCTAAGATCGCAAGTTCTTTCCGAAAAAATTGCAATATTAAAGCTTGTATTGAAAATTTTTTGTAAAATACGACTTATCTTTAAGGATGTATTATGTTTATTTTTACAAATTCATTAATATTTATACTTTAAAGAAACTATATAGTAACATGAAAGTTGTATATACAATAATCTATTTTTTGAATAATTTTATTGTTTATTTACATTATTATTTATATGTTAAAATTTAAAAATTGACAAAAATTTCAATTTTTTTGTATAAATATTTTAAGTACTCAAAATGATTTATATAAAGTTTCATTGCGATTCACAGATTGATTATAAAGATTTAAAAGAAATATTTTGTTTATTTCTAGAACAACTAATCTCTGCATGGCAATGTAACTTTATATGAATCATCTGGAATATTTAAAGTAAAGTTTGCATAATAAATTGAGATTTTTATTATTTTATACGTTTCCATATATTTCTGTCAAACATAGATTTAAAAAACCTTACTTAAAATAAACTTTGATCCAGACGATAAACTTGAATTTTTTTTATAACTTTTAAATGTACGACCTAAAATAATCTGTAATTTTTTAAGTAGCTTTTTCATTATTTTGAAAATATTTGTAATACATCCTTAAATATGCGATAAAAGGTCTGTTTTTATTTCTGCATTTTTGAACTCAGTTCCGAGAGTGTAAGTAAAAAACAGACTTAATATATAAAAAAAAATAAGAAAGGCGCGAATCAATGAAATCATCGTCCGTGTTTGAGTTCAGGACACCCGGTATATGCGCTCGTGATGCAACATGGATCTCTCGTGACGTCAGAGGGTCAGAGCGTTACTTCTTTTGTGCGTCTCGAACTGTCGAGATCCAATTTTTTTTTCTCTAATATGCGAATCTCGAAAACTTGCTACATATTGTCACTATTTATTTTTATCTCTCTCAAAAGAGACACAAAATTTGAATGTATCGACGCCGATAGGGCATCAAGTGCCGCGATGCTCCGCAACGTCGCTCGGCTCGTCTGTCGCCGCCATTTGCTTGACGGTGGACAGGCGGGCCATCCGCCGCATTAAAGAGGCCATTTTCAAAATATGGCTGCCCCCGTGAGGCCAAGCATAATGGCGTTCGCGGGATCAAAACAAACAATGCGGCCTGTCAAGCCGGCTGGAGCGCGCGGCCGACGTGATCGGGCCAGGTAGCCGATTTTTCCACACGGGAATCGCGCGCCCGTGCAGCGACGCGGTATCGATCTGAGCATCGCACCGGAAGTGCGTATCCGCCCGTGTGCGTGGTGGATAACGAAGGGGCCAGGAGGAACGAGGGGAGAGACGAAGGAGAAGAGAAAGAAATAAAGAAACTTCTTTTTAGCTCGAAAACTCGGTGAAGGCAAGAACGATGAATAAAAAGAACGGAAAAAGAAAAAGAGAAAGAGAGAGAAATGAATGAGAATGAAAGAACGAATGTCCAAATGAAGGAGTCCAGAGGAAGCCGAAAATGTGTAAAAAGACTCACCGTCGTCCGTGCCGGACGCCCACATCGTTACCGAAAACTCGCCCTCGAGCGTCTTGATTTGCACCTGCTTCTGTTCCCACTTTCTAGCCTTGGTCTCGGTGGCCATCTCACCGAAAATCGCGTGGTCGGAGGCACGAAAACGCGTGCCACCGCTCTTACGCGCCTTCTTAGCAGCTTTACGCGACGGCCCGGGGCTGGACTCGACATAAATGTCGTTATCCGGCACCGGAATCTGGTCGTATACGCTAAGCGGATCGGCGCCAACGATCTCCTCTTGCGTCTGCAGTATGATTTCTTCTCGGCCCGGCTCCGGCAATGGCTGCAGCGCTATCATCGGCTGCCCGTCCTCGCCCTCGATCGTCGTCTCCACGGTCTCGCACGGTATCTCCACCGGTATCGCCTCTATCTCAACCTCCTGGATGTCCGGTTGGATCTCCACTTCAGTTATTATGTCCGAGGACGCCATATTAATCTCCGGCGGCGACGCCATGTTAACGTACCAAAATGGCCGGCTGGCCTGGCGACAGCGGAGCCTCGGCGGGGACCGAGCGTCTTGCGGTCACGTGACTGCACCGCTCACATGACGTTATCCGCCACCAGGGGGAGTCTCGAGCGCGCGCGTCTCGTTTGTGCTCGTCGCGGCGCCATCTTGGGAGCGCGGCCAGACATTTCTTTCCTTTCATTCTTATTGTCATACTATTACTCACGTTTAGTTCTCACCAGCGCGATTACGAGATTGTTCCACCGATCGACGTGACTCAATTTTCATTATTTACATTGTTTGATCGAGGAAACGGAACGAGGTGTCTCTAAGCGACACTCAGAAAGGAGAATAGGTTAGGAGCCGTTTGGTGTCGATGGCCACGATGGACCTGTCAAAAATACCGAACGAGAAGAAATTGTATCTCTGCAAATGGTATTTTCGCGGTACGTTGACATCGCGAAGCTATACTTAAGGTCCTAATATTGATACTTGACGCTTGATGATTTATGGAATACCGTAGAATGGGATAGTTGGTACAAATTTGACAACACACATGATAAATTTAGAATGTAAGACATCTTACAATCGTCTTAAAGAGATATTTTTTATGTTTTCCAGAAAGAGACAATGTAACAAGTGATCGTTTCATCTTTGTTTAATATCAGCAAACAAGAATATAATGATTCACCTGTTACACTATATCATCTGTACCTCTTATTGGAATTCGTTAACTTAATTCTGAACATACTTAGGATGTATTCGGGGAGACACTATTAGTGCTATTTATGTCATTCTATCTTCATTGTTTATTAGATGTTAAAACAAAAATAGGTGACATAAATAGCGGTGATAGCATGTTCCTCAAATATATCCTTAGGGTGCTATTTTATTTATGCATTTTTGTCATATAACAAATATATATAGAACAGAGAGATCCTTGGATCTGTATCCTATAGCTAATCAATAAGCTTGAAAAATTTGTCGTATGACAAAACACACAAATGGAATATCATCCTTACTGTCCATTTATGTTTTAAAATTCAAACCAGAGTTATTTCATATTTCAATATTACAATTCAGATTTTAACACATGTATGGATTAGCAGACGATATCTATAGATGCTCCATCCTCAAGTATGTTAAACATTGATTAAGAACTAAAATTAGAATGAAATATCAAGTATAGCTATGAATTTGCAGCAGTACATGAGATTCTTAGTATCAAAATATAATTCTTATGTTGTTAACTTCTTTAGCTGCGTTCTTGATTTTTTGAAATAGTTGTTTCTTCTCTCCAAAATCTTTCTTCTAAAATCTAAATATGTATATATAATTTAAGTACAGAGAGAAAAAAAATAACGCAGTGCACAGCCAAAAGTCACATTTTACAACAACTTGCCAATATTTTCTCCAACTTCTCTCTGTTACAGCTGGTTTTGCACTGCTGCCATTCCTGTGGGCCGTGAATGCGGTTTGGTTCTCAAAAGAAGCTTTCATAGCACCACCTTACGAGGAACAGAAACAGATTAAGAGATGTTGGTGTCGATCAATTTATTTCCTATAACGAATCTTAGCTTCTCTCTAACGTATACGTTTTTTTCAGATGTGATTTTCTCTGCTATCGGAGCAGTTATTTGGACTGCTGCTTTACTAGCTTGGATAATAATCTTCCAAACCCAAAGAGCTGTTTGGGGTGAATTCGCCGATTCTATCAGTTACATAATTCCCACTGGTATTCCTTGAGCTTGATACTCCATAGTGGTACACAATAATTTATTGCAGAAATATATGCATTCAACAATTGTATATTAAACTTTGTAATATATTTATGTCATGTAAGTTCATATGGTAACATCTGATATGTAGCATACACAATAAAAAAATAACATTCTTTTTTACATTTTGTATACATTAATAAAAAATATCAATTTCGAAAAGTAGCAGCGCGCTATTAGCTTTTCTTTGTTTAAAATTACATTTAGATGCATGTAGCAGTTATGAGAAAAAGTACAGTCCAAAATAGATTTCCATATATTTAAATCTCTCTCTTGCATCCCTTTAAGGAGATATGAGACTATAAATTATAAATATACAGATTCAAATATGTAAAAACTGACATACCTCTCCGCATTTATACGCAACAATTAGCGAATTTTATTTCGCGTTTTACATTTGAATAACTCTTCGTCTTTGCACATACAATCTTATATCTCTGTAAACTAATCTGGACAGAAGCTGAAACAGCGAAACATGATATACACATTATTTGTAATGATATTTCGTTTTAGTATCAATGAAAGCAAACTCACAAGCAAAGCAAACTCACCAGTAGAGCGAATAAATCTGCACACATGAGCATATAAAATACATTGTGCCATCCGCCCCACCGAGACACTAAACCTGCTAACAGCGGACCAACTGCAGCCCCAATACTACCAGTTCCATCGATAATGGCAGTTACTGTAGCTAAAGCTTTTGAATTTTCTCCTAAGCTAGGATGAGTTCCCAGTTCGGCCGACACAGCAGTTGTTATTAATGCATAGGGACCATTCACTAAAAGCCCTCCTATTAGCAGTAATACTATATTGACGCCTAGACTAGTATTTCCGATAGAGTCGTATATAAATAACTGAAATATATAAGGCACACATGTTAAAATGTATAAATAATATATACATTCGAATCTTTTATATTTATAATATTGCATATCATTAAAAAATAAGAACATTCTTTAAAGCAATGTGCTTCATTATTTAATGAATTTATTTAGTAATTTATATAAGCAAAAAAAATCATTTTTCTACAGCTCATTAATAATTAATCTAATAATTTTGTCATTTTGTAACTGCAAAAGTCTGCATGTGGCAAAATTCAATGTTATTAAGGAATAAATTGTACTCACCGCAGGAAATGCAAGTCCAAACATCACGGCGCATGTTAACGCGCTCATGCTACTGTAATCAGAGATGATTCCAGCTGCTATAGCACCTATTATACCACCCACATCAAACAGAGTCGACAGATCCGCGCTCAGAGTTGCGTTGTATGTAGCTACAAAAAATTCTTATTGAGATTAAAACGAAATTATATAACGAGATAGTAGCTATAGGATTATTATTACGAATACCTACTTGTAGCTGCGATGTATAATGGTAACCAGTAGAGGAATGTATAGCTAACAAGCTTCGCGAAAAATAGCGACAAGGAATATTCGATGACACCTGGTATCTTTATGGCTTCTATGAAGTTGATTGCGCTATTGTGAGATGCATGATCACGTCGGTGTCCAGACAGCATTGGACTGGTTTCAGAGCGTTCATTTGCCACATTCTTTGAAATATATAAATTACATATTACTACTAATAGTATTTATATATGTTGGATGAAAGTAGTTGTGATATTAATAAATGTTGTTGTGATATTAATAAATGTTATAGTGACACATTGTCGTTCAAAATACATATTCTCATGTGGTTTAAGAATTACGAATACATTTATGCACCATATATATAACACATGCATTATGTGATTTATGTTACATTTTAAAGCTAAATAGCAGTGTTAACTGAGAGTGGCATGCACTTACGTCGGTAGTAAGTTGTTCACGGTAGACACAGCGATAGATGACACGCTAGGTAGAGTAGACGCTTATTTATTATGGAAGTACAAACTATAATTCTACTAAAAATAATTAATCTTGACGCTTGCATTATTAAAAAAAACCTAGGAAAACTAAAAGAAACGAAATAAAATTGTAATCATAGTAAAGTAGAGAGGACGTGCTTATAATCAAATTACAAACATGCTATTATGTGTTAATTGGCAAATGCTACAAATTTTACATTTATTAACATTAAAAAACATCTATTATGCTAATACATCTATTATGCTAGTATTTGCTGAGTGAAAAAGTGTCAAAAATATTTAGCAACTATGGTAAACTTACATCCTCGTTGACACTACGAGATTCGTAACCTCCGTCAAACGAGTCGTCGTCCGAGCTGGTCGTTACAATTTTTCGATATCCGGGGGAAGCGAGCGAATTATATCCTATGTCGATAGGATTTGGTATTAGGAATAAGAAGATCACGAATCCCATCAGTCCCATTATCACTCCAGGCACAATGAAACTCAAACTCCAATCGGACTCGACGTATGCCGCCGCGATTAAACTACCTAATATATTTCCTAAGGACGTATGAGAATTCCATACTCCAAAGATCAAGCCACGCTTGCCTTTTCCGAACCAATTTCCCACAACAGTTACTACACCTGGCCATCCAGAAGTTTGAAAGATTCCGCCTAGTGCCTATGTACAAAAACAAGGGGAAAAATATGAAAGAATATCTTTGTTAATATGCTTTATAGTAGGTACTTTCCATAAGTAATACTTTAATAACACAAATGCAAGTTATTCTATTTTTCTTAGCATTTCAAGAGTAACAAAGACAGAACAATACTTAGATCAATTTGTGTCATAAATAGAAAGCATTTAATGTTATTGATATTTACCTGCACGAAAATAAAGTACCACAGATTGTGAATATTGTATGGTTTAGCGATTCCAAACAGGTAACATGATATGCCTGACGCGAGCATACCAATGGAAAGAAAGTATCGCAGATTTATTCTCTCCGCTATGAACCCACTGTGTGAAAAAAAGACAATATTATTGACAAAATTCCCTTATGTCTTGGAAAGTATTAAACTCATTTCAAGATATCCACCTGAAAAACATAGCTACTGCATATACAAACAGAAATGCTGAATCCAGCATACCAAGTAATGCTGGTGCATCCTCCGTATCTGTAAAAATAATATAGCACAAATTATTTGCACATTCGAGTGTTTGTTTCCTTCATACAGAAAAATAATTACTATTTACTTTTTTTCTTATAAACAAATATATATAATTTTTTTTTTATAAATAACAATAATCTTTAACAAAGAATATTTTTTGATAGATAATAGTCTCAAAATATATTTTTTACAAATGTTATAGAAAACTCATTATATTATGTATTTAAAACAAGAATCTTTCTTTTTAAGAACATTACAAAATTGTATCGAAAAAGCGATTTTATACAGAAAGCAAATTGAATTTTAATATAATCTTGATTGAAGTAAATATTAAATTTATTAGGCTTCAAAACATATTTTGAATAAATTTGCTTGTGATAAACTTATGATAAATTTGCGAGTATATGAACTTTTAAAATACTTCAAACAAGTAATTAATATTTAAATATATATATTTAAGTATATATTTTTCTATTATCTCTTATTACCAAATGGAGCCCAGTCGCACCAGGTATCCCGGTTACTGGCATTTACAAAAATATCCGCAGGTACTGATAGGTTGCTGCAATTGAGACTTAGAATGTTCTTCACTACAGATATCGGTTTCCGAGTCAAATGATAACAAGTGTATGATAGATAAGTAAGCGCCAATATGCCTCCTTGGTGCCATGCTATCCAATTGACACGACGATGTTCGCAGCAACCGTTGCACATACACCTTGCGCATTGCAAACCCCATGGTAGATCTTTCGTCGGTCCATTCATATTAATACTTTCTTATAGTATTCAACAGTGTATTTTGTACTCTTTGATTATAAGATTCTTTTTGTGCGGAAGCAAGATAAAATAATCTTATCGTCTTATCGTAATTGATGTAGTAAGTAAAATGCAACTAAATTTAATTAAATAATATTCAGATCTCACATTAATTAAATATTAATTAGCTAAATAGACAAACACATAGAGATCTCTTGTGATCTCTGGACAAGTTATTCAAGTATGGTGTTATTCCCACGATGTTTTGCATGATACTGTTATTTGTTCACAAACGTCCAGTTAAGATAAAGTGTCGAATAAGGACTAAACTAAATTTTAACAATGACACTTATGACAGTAGTAAATAAATGCAGCTAACCTAGAAACAGAACAAAGAGATCTGTAAAAAGTTTAAAGAATGGTGACTACCTAGCGACTGAATATTATCTACATTTGTGAGTGATTCTGGAAGCAGATAAAAATTCTTGATAAATGCAGTCCTATAATATTGTCTTTCTTCTCCCTCCTTTTTCTTCGAAATGCAATGTTTATACTATCACGAGATGACTATTGTACGTCAGCAACGCCCATGGACGCACTCCTACATAGGTGTGTTGAGCGAATGTCTATCGCGTCGATGCTAATTGCGACATTTTTAAATACAATAATTGTTACATGATCCTTGAACAACGTTAGTGCCACATTAAGATAAACATATTGCGTTGTGCGACTCCATTTGACTCCATTGACGTGAGTCACAATCGATTTGAGGTTACGTCACGACAAATATTCCCTGGTGAAAATTTTTCTCTGAATTTTTCATGTAATTTTTCAAAATATTCTGAGTAATTTTATAACTTTTTAGGAAGTTGCTCAGATTTTTTAATATAAATTGGAACACTTTTCAGAAATGCCAAAAAAGTCAATATCTTTTTTAAAATTTTTTTATACATATGAATTAAATATTCTAAAATTTCTCATTTTATAATTTCTCTGATGAATCTTATAAATCTGATAAAATCTGAAGAAATTCAAAGTATTTTTTTCAAATAATTATAGAATAAGTAATTTTAGAAATTTTAAAATATTTTTGAAAAAAATTATTCCAATATTATTCTAAAATGATTCTAAGTTATTCTAAAATTGTTCTAATTTGTATAAAAATTCTGAAACAAATTTTCACCAGAATCTTTTTAAAAGAAATTTAAAAAACTATAATTTTGTATGCACATAAATATAGATGTATAATATTTATTTACATCATATATACTCATATTACTATAATTTATGATTACAGAACAGTGTAACAGAAACTTCACAATTTGGACAATTTGTATCACTATACAATGCCATGAGTGATCTCAAAGTGTATCCTTATTTTACAAATGATTTGTTTATAATAATATTTGCCATCCAATTTACTACTTTTACCTTAATATTACACAGAGAGTTGTCTGTGCCTTTTCCAAGTGCCAGAGAAGCAGAAGTTGTATATCAAGTGCTTCGGGTCGATGAGGAACCACCGCGCAGTGAAGTCACAAAGAATCTTACATTAAATAATAATATTTTAGAAGTGTAAGCTTAAAATTGTATTAAATATTTATAAATGTTATTTTACTGACATTTATCATTTTCTATACAGGTCATTCAGTGGTAAGGAACCAAAAAAAGTACGTGTGGCACTTACATCCTTCTCTGATAATCTACTACTGGTCACAGAAACCATCAAAAAATTTGGTCCACCTGAGCCAACATATAGTCATTATGGAGCCAACAATTAGCTAATTATATTTACCTGTTAATTTTCAAATATACATGCATTATGGAGCACACTCCTGCACCTTACGGTCCCAGGGCTGTCTATGGATATGCCATGTACATCGGATCGAATATGCTGTTTCTGTTGTACGTGATATGGGCGATAATACCAGACAAGGTGCTGCATGATTATTTAGGTCTGACCTATTGGCCCTCCAAGTATTGGGCAGTTGCGATTCCTATATGGGCATTGACCGCTCTAGCCACATTTGCATTTTTAATTTATCCTGCTATCAATATGTTGATAACTCCGGACATCGATGACATCCGGACTATTACGGACAAGTATGCCCTACAAAATGTCGAAACTATTCCAGATGGAATACCGACTGTATCCGATATACCGATCACAGAAGTCTGTAGGAGATTGTATTTGAGAAAAAAATAACGTAATCGTTTACCAGAATAATTATAATTTATTTTTTTTACATTGAGGTGGATGTACAGTTAGAAATAATAATTAAGAAACGCGTGTTATGCGAATTTAACAAATGAATGATAAATCTCTAAGCGTAGTCCCGGTAAAAAATTTTTCATGCATGAATATGTATAAATACGTGTAAACATACAAAAACATGCATAAATATTCATAAACATGTATAATTATATATGTGAAATATGTATGATACATACACGTTCATACATTCTTCTTTCTTTTGAAAAATTACTTTTTAGTGTAATAAAAATAATAATAATATAAAAACATAAAAAATAATTAAAGGGATAATTTTCGCATTGTTTGTTTTAGAAAACAAGTTTGGAAAAATGTAAAAAAAATTACTCATACCTAATTATGCATAATTTTATATATAATTATACATAAATAATTTTTTACATTTCTTCAAACTTGATTTTTTTCTAAAACAAATAGTTGCGAAAATTATTTTTTTAATTATTTTTAATGTTTTTACATTACTATTATTGTTTCTCTATTATACTAAAAAGTAATTTTACAAAAGATAATAGATGTATAAACATGTATGGATATATTTCATATATAATTATACATGTTTATGAATATTTATGCGTGTTTATGTATGTTTATACATATTTATACATATTCATGCATGAACAATTTTTTTTCACTAGGGTGTAAAAACACTTTATTTAAGAAATCTTTTAAGAAGCCAAATAATAAATGTTATATAAATTTACATTGTAAAATCTATAATTTTTCGAAACTTGTATTATGGGATCATTTCCAAAATAAACGATTCACTCTATTCTATAATATATTAAATACTTATACAAAACTGAGATCTATTAGCATTGAATCAACATCGGTTTTCTTATAACATAAAAATCAATGATATATATGTATATATATATTTTTTGTTGTGTATATACATTTTATACAAGTATGTAATATTGTGTACATCACTGTAAGAGATTGTGCTCCACACTGTACATTACATAATTCGATGCTCATTAGTATAGTCTGTGGAATGAAAGTATTAACATTAGATTTACGCGATGAGCTAATTTATAATGAGAAACTTAATTCTCAAAAACGACATGTGCGAGCGGAATGACGCTGACGGAAACAATCCTTCCACATCCGATTTTCATATCGAGAATCCCCGTAAAACGGTTGTGGATCTGCGACAATTGTTAAAAGATAAAATTAACAAAAACGAGATATTTTGTAGCTTCGAAATTGTTTCCACGAGGAAATCCGATGCGTTTTATCGAAGGTCTGTATAACTAAAAGACATCGAGTAGAATTAGATTGAGCACCAGTATGACACAATAAGTCTTAGAATGTTAAGAACAAGTATTTTTCTCGAAAATGATATAGATTCGTGGTAATATTTATTGAGGTTATAATTGTGCATGATCCTATATAAATTTTCTTAAAACAATTAATATTAATATTTAAATTATGTTCTACTCAGGAATACTGTATCGAGCATTTAAACTCATAATACATAATAAAAATATATATTTCTATATAAATAAATATTTATAATGTATAAATGAATACATAATACAAAAATTGTAGGCTTCTCATAGATATGGAAGAGTATTCGCCCCTGTTTTATGCGTTAACGTGGCATAACGAAACATCTTCCGACATTGATGGCTATCTGCCATTGGATCTGGTGAAGAATTTTCCGGCCAATACTCTTTTACATCTAGCAGCTAAAGGTCTAAAGTGTGACGAGGTCATTTATATTCTGAAAAAAGCTCTTGCTTTCGGAATAATTAATATATTTGCATTGCAAGGAGGTAATTTAACTTTTCCGCCAAATTTCCGATTTTCTTAATCGTGTCTTATATTTATATTTATAATCACAAATATATCTCTAGTGTTTTATTAACGTGGATAAGATTTAATAATTTTTTAATAGAAAAAAAATTAAATTATAGAATTACAAATTATTAAAAAATTTTGGAACAGTTTAATTAATTATCGATTAAAGATTGGTTGGAATTTGATTGAAGTACTTTTTTTAAATTTGTATTAAATTTTTTGCAGCGGCATAATTCGAATTCCCAAAAAGCAAAAAGATCTAAATATTAAGATATATGACTCTTGGAAATTAAAAAATATATTTTTAATTTCTAAGTTATTTTTAATTGTTGAGATATATTTCGGCAAGCTAGAGATATCGCATTAGTATATTTCGTAACGTCATTATTAAACGATTGATTTGCATACCTGCAATTATATCAGATCCGGGAGAATTCGCGATAAAATCGATCCTCGAGTGGCTTTTAGCGATCTGTCCAAATGTTTAAAGTCTAATCTATAATGTTCTCTTTGTTTTTTGTTTTTTACCACTTTTTACCTTTATTTTCTTATTTCTGGCGAAATAAAAATTGACAATCAACTTTGGAAAAGACAAGAAATACGTCAAAAAAACGCGATTGTTGAAATACATCAAAAAAAAGGTCGCAAAGAAGAAAAAAAACATGAAGAAAAAAATAAGACAGAGAAAGCAAAGAACATATAAAAATTAAATTAGACTTTATTCCAACACGCATTATTTAGATTTCTTTGTGATGTCTTTAAGCCGACCACACACGTTCATATAAATTTGTCATCTTGTCAAGTATATATGCTTACGTAAGCCATCCAAGGAAAAAATGCATCATGCATTAAATATGTATCATAGGTTTTACTGCAATTAAATTAAATTAAATTTAAATTTATAGTAAATTAGTAGTAAATTTAAATTTACTAATAAAGTCGTGCAAGTTAACTTGACAAATTTACTTGAATGAGTGTGGCTGGCCTTAGATATCTTTTTTAGACAATAGTATGTTTCAAAAAACATGTCTTTTTCTGATAATTTATGTTGCCTGGATTGTCGGGAAAATACACATTTAGCCAAATTGCAGATTCGTTATCAGAGAATGGTGACTTCGAACATGCAGCGGATCTAGTAGATTTTATCAGACAGCGATTTGGTAATACGTTCTGCGTGTGCGTTGCGGGTTATCCACAAATGCATCCCGAATCGCCGTCTAAGGAGCTCGACTTGCATTACCTGAAAGCGAAAGTAACGATCAACAACGTAGTTGTGCGAGTTATATCTTATATCTCTAATTTATCGAGCAAGAGATGACGCATTCAACACAAAAGCAGCAACATTGTATTGTTACAGCCGCTTGATTGCATCAACGTTATTTTGACTTTATAAGTGAGGCTTAAAACTCTCACTTTCTCTTTTTCAAGCCAATAGAGAGTTTTAAGCTTTGCTTAAAGTTAAAATAACGTTGATGCAATCGGGTCTAAGATCTGGTACTCGACACATTTTTTTTTTGGATTGCTCATGTTTTAATGAAACTAGAATTGCATCACACAATTAATACAGAATTTCTAGAAATTTACTAAGCGCAAGCAAGCTAGAAAAAATGCATCATGAAGTATAAATGTTATTGCAATTAAATTAAATTTAAATTTCTAGTCAGTTTAAATTACATTCTTAGTAATACTTTTGCTCGGAAATTGTCCAGCGAGCAAGAATTTCAGTTTTTAAATACTGTAGGTGGAGGCGGGTGCGGATTTTATCATAACGCAAATATGTTTCGATTCTCGAGTCTTAATAAATTTCGTGAGGGATTGTCGAGAAATCGGGATCCAAATCCCGATTCTACCTGGGATTCTCGCCCCGACAAATCACGCGTGTCTAGAAAAAATGATAGACATATGCAGACTCGGCGTACCGATTAAAATTAAAGAAGATTTAGCACAAATAAAGGACGATGATCAAGCGGTGAGGAAATATTCAGTCGACTTGATAACGCAGATAATTACGGACGTGATTAGAAATGGAGCCACGTATGGTTTTCATTTGTTCACACTGAATAGGTAAAATATCAATAATAATGCCTTAAATTTAAACGAGAGTAATACTAAATTTAAAAAAAATAATTTTTTTTCATGTTTTGCATATATATTTATATTGTAGATTATCGCTAGTGGCGGAAATATGTAAACGCATAGAATCTTTCAAAGCTGAAAACCTATAGAAAAATATGACATCCAGCAATCCTTGAATGTCCTTGGATCCTGGAATTATATTGGAATTTTATATACACTACAATCAGAGCGTAAAAAAAGAAAAAATAAGAAGAAAAATTGTGTTTGAGTATAAGTCTCCTCCTTTAAAGATGCAATAATATAAGTTACCAATAAAAACTTGAATTTAATATCTAAAATAAGAACAGTAGAAAAATTGTTTGTGTTGATGGAATAATTTTGATATTATTTATAAAGCAATAAATAATATTCTTCCAAATCTATTAGCGCTTTAATTCATTCGTATAAAATCCTATTTTATCCTAATTACTTTTTGATTATAATAAAATTTCATGAAATTACAAATATTAGTATTATAATTTCCAATTTCTAATTTTATCGTTAATGTTCGCGTTGCTTGAAATTCTTGAATATTTTTGCACTTAAAATGAGATAGAAACATATTCTGTAGCGGATTGCTACATATAATAAATGTAGGTAATGATCGTCACATGGATTCACAAATAATAACATTTATTTATACATACAATATCTTATTCCGACAATATAAAATGATGTGCCTGAGGACGGTGAAGAACCCCCCCCAAGAGCCAGTGTCTAGGTGGGAACATCGTGTTCGTGAGAGCGCGCCATCTGGTCGCGGAGTGTGTGAGTCTAACGAGTAAAAGGCATGGTGATGTATAACTGAAAGAGTGTGAGAATTTGTGTGTATGATGTGTGTGATGTATGTGTATGTGTATGGAAGTGTGAATGCGTCTCCACAATTCGGACATTGAAAAGAGAGAAAGCGAAGATGCTGAGTGTAAAAAGTGCATCCAACGCGAATGGACCGACTCTGAAATTTCGAGACGGGGCGCGCCGCGGCCACAGCCGCCCCTGAAGTGGTCTGAAGTGCACCGCAGTTGGGCGCCGCTTGAATGCATGCGCGCGCAGCATAGCGGCGAAAGCGGCGCGGCTGGGGCTAGTGCAGGCGGCGGAGCGCCGAGCCAGTCGAGTTGGAACGCCGCAGCACCGCGTGGTTCGGTCGATTAGTCAGACGGTCGAGTCGGTCAGTTTGAGGGTACGTGATAGATTACAACCCACGCAAGAAAGAGGATGGCACTATTCCGCTTTACCCCGAAACGCTGCCTCGACGTGCAGGTGAGTTCCTCATCTTTCTTAAAAACCTCGCTCTTCCCCTTTCTCACCCTTTTCCCCCTCCCCCTCCCCCCCCCCGCATGATGAAGTTAGCGCCGCTCTCACGCGATTTCGCGCTCTTCGAATTTATCAGTCGCTTGTTCAATACAAAGAAAAACTCAACGGGCTAAAATTCGAAATTTTGCGGATGTGGACACCTTCGAAAATCACCCCGGGACGGTTTTCGTCGACCGCGGCGATTTTCACCGCCGCGAACGGCTGACCGCAGTGTTCTCTATCGACCGGCTTGGACGAAACCTTCCCGTTCCAGGAAAGAACGTGGATAGGCTTTCGAATTTGTCGATAGGGAGACGATCGAATGATCCGTCCTTGAACAGGGCATTTTTCTTGTCCTATATAAGATAGGTGCTTTTGAAAAGGACATTTCCTGAATGTGTGAATCGTGTACATGTGTGCTTCTTGCGGAGTGTACGTGTTCATCAGTCATTGTATGCGAGGAGTCTACCGTAGATTAGAGACCTTTCGTTTTCGGCTTAGTGGCGGGGGGAGGAAATGGCAAACTGCGGCTTAACGCGTGTTCGTATTACGTGACCTTGCAGGAATATCATTAACCGATCATGATCATAAACTTAAAACAAATTTGTTAAAATGAGTAAACAGCTTCGTATTAATGTTTCTTTAAATCGGATTTATTCCCGATGTAATTCATTTCCACGTTTATATATATCCATATATATTTAGCCTGAATATGTCTGTCTAAGCGTTATGTTGCGCGTGATTATTATGAACATCGACGAATACATTTGTTAAAATGAGTAAAGCTATCCAACAAACACAAGTTACATGTAACTTGTACCTGTTGTAATGTCCCACTCAACACTATAACTGTAATTAATTTAATTTTAACTCACACATGTTATATTGTGTATTATATTATAACAATATAACTATAATGTAACACACCTGTTATATTACAGTTATATTGTTGAATGGAAAATTACAATTAACAGGTACGTTACACGTAACTTTGTGCTTGCTGGATAGCATTGTATTAAATTTTCTTTAAATAGGGTTTATTCTCAGTATACATCCGTTTTCTCTCTCTCATTTCTAATACATTTAACCTAAATATATGTCTTGCAGGCGAATGTTGCACTTGATTCACGCAAGACTCAAATCTTACAGAGCTAATAATGGTTAGAAAGAAATTAATTTGACGTTGGCGAAATTAGCATAATCACGTATACTTGGTCTCTCAAAAAACCGTAGCTTCTTTTTCTTTCTTTCTTTTTTTTTTAGAAAAGATCTCTCTTTGGAGTCTATTAAAGACTTCGATATTGAACTCTACATTGAAGTTCTGGAGCATGCTGCAAAGAGAATTGCATAATAATCGGATTCCCCAGTTTCCTTCAAACATTTAAGTCGATCGATTCGCAACAGTCGATGCCACGCGTCTTCATGTAACTCCAGCGGCGCACTCGGTGACACGTCACATGCACGTAAAATGCATCGTGTTTGCCAGTGCATCGAATCGATTCGGGGACGTCCCGAGATCGACATTCATCCTAGAAATGATACAGATTTATCCATTGCAAATGAATTCTAGTATCCACTTAAACATTCCTCCAGCCTACTTTAAGTTTAACTTGAAATGAATATGCTTTATGCCGAGGAAAATCCCGCCGCTGCGTTCTACATACTTAGTAACAGGAATTAAAGTTTTCTATTAGCGTGAGTAATATATTAACATAAATAAATGTTTATCTGTCATTGACGTATAGCATACATACATTCTCAACAGTATTTATATAATTAAAGCGTAAAAAAGAAACATATATTAGATACCTATATTTATATTTTAATAAATTTCACATTCAAGTATGTTTATTTTATATTTTATATTTAACAAAATAAATATAAATGAAAATAAGAAATATATTATACATTTATATCTTAATATATTTTACGTTCAAACGCGGAGAAATTATATATAAATAGTGATGTAAATAAGTTTTTGTATTTAATAAAATAAAATAAATGAGAATAGAGAAAATATATTATACAATTTTATATTTAGATAGTAGGAAAAATAACAGTGCCTCGTATGTTAATGATAATGAGATGGTATCACAGTTTAAAAAAAAGTAGATAACTAGCTAAATCCTTAAGTTAAATCAATATACACGTTACGTTTTCCACATCCAACTGTCTTTTAAAATAATTTTTTAATTGTTAGTTTTAGAGCTTGCATAGAAACAATCTCGTGCTATCTGCATCTGCGAATCTCTAAAGATACACTTGTGCTTGACCCATATTTGGTATTAATTACGACGTTAATTATGATTCTTGCATAACAAACGTTTTAACGGAATATCAATATTAAATGCTTGACTTTGCCGATACAATCAGATATACTCATAAAAATGGAAATGCAAATGTCAATTATTGTAATCTGAATTATTCATTCTTCCCACAACGAAGGTAGACAGTGACGAAAGGAGATTTAAGAAAGGGAATCTCATCGCAAGTGGTGATTTATATTGGCGCAATTTATATTAGCAGTAGAAAAATTATCGTAGAAAAGAACGAGCGAGTTGATGAGGATATGTTCTTCGCCGCAAGACTGACGTCAGATTTTTTTCTCTTTAATTAATACATGTAGAATTTTACGATGTATAATAGAAGGAACAAAACCGCATTGTGTGTCGACTCCGTCAAGTCTCTCTCTCTCTCTCTCTCTCTCTCTCTCTCTCTCTCTCTAAAAAACCCCTCCCCCTCCCTCTTTTCCTCTTTTTTTTCTCTTCTTTCTTTCTTTCTCCTTTTTATTACTTTTATTAATTGCATTCTATCCTTATATTTTTCTTTTGCTTTTACATTTTTTAGAGAGCTTACCCTCTAGAACATAAAAAGTAAGAAAAATATAAAGATAGAGATATGCAATTAACAAACAATAAACACATCTATCCATCTATTTATCTATCTTCTCTCTTTCTCTTTTAAAAGAGAGAAAGAGAAGAAATAAATAAACAAGAACAAAGAATTTTATGATCGAGTTCGAGCTTATGCCTCTGATTTCATCTGAACAAAATCCATTTCTACATGCGATTATACTCATTACGCAATACGCCTTCAATGCATTTATGTACATTCGAAATCCACTCGCGTGCATTCGTCCGACTGACACGCGTCGCATGACTTCGCGAAATTAATTATACGCGGTGACCGAGAAAGAAGTATCCTTATTTAGGAGGAATTTTGAGCATTTTGAATGATGAGATAATTCACAAATCTCTGAATTGCACGATTTAAATGCAGTTTTCCATATTCATCAATATTTTATATCATGCTTTTAGGACTCCTGCACACAAATTTCCGTAAACAGTCAATAAATCGATATTTTTTATTTACTACTGCTTACTTACATTTGCCTTACGTTCTGTACTGTGATTGGTCGATTTGCTTACGTTTAAGTCCGGATCTACAATAAATGTTTTAAGCCTTAAGCCGTAAAAAATTTACCAACTACAGTCGAATGCGAGGAGAATAATTGATTGTGATTCGTCCATTCCTTATGGCTTAAGGCTTAAAAATCTATTGTAAATCCGAAATAATGGGCCTTCTATACAATAAATCACTAGTCATAAATCAGAAGTCAGAAGCTAAAAATTGATCAATCGAATCACAGTCGTGAATTTTTAACTTTTAATTAATGCCTTATTGTAGAAGGCCCATTAGTCTTACCGCTTACGTCTTTCTATGTGACCATGGCCCTTATATTACTACACGCATTTTTATCCTGTGTAGAATGTAGTCGGGCCACAACGTATACTTCGCAATATGTTACGACACGTTTTAGAACAGAAGACACTTTGGAGTTCGAGCGGCGTTTTTTAATATTTCGATACGAAGCGGCTAATATAATATGCATTAAATAAATAATAAAAATTTCCACAGGGAAGTTGCCAATAAATCTTAATCAATTTTCCGGGCTTATTCTCTCTCTTTCTTTGAAATATCAATTCATCTGAGAGATTTGAACTCTTGAGATGCGCACAGATGACGTAACGATCACGCGGAGTTTCTTTGAGAAACAAGATTTCTGCTTTTCCGTGCCCGTAATGAGAAAATAATATCAACGAGGCGTTGCACAACGCGCGCACACGTGAGCACACGTAAAGCAGAGCTCTCGTGTACATACGCACGTGGTATGCACAAGAACGCGGTACTCGACTCCGTTTTCCCTTCGTCTCGCTGGCGCAGAGTGTCCATTGAGCAGTTTTGCAAGACGCTGGGCTAATTTTAGCAGCGATTTCGAGGCCGAAAATCCTCTTGCGCCCTGCTGTCCCCATAATCCACATCGACCCGACCGTAACCCTGCTGGTCCCGTATCTGGCGTTCTAATTAGGCCAAGTTGCCTTAATCGCCAAGTCATCCTTGAGGGTCGAGATTCCCCCGAGGACTGGAGATCTCTGGAGGACTATATCTTAAAATGGGTTTACACACACACACACACACACACACACACATATATATATATAGATAGATAGATAGATAGCCTGCAACAGCGATAACGCGCGTCTGTTCGGTCTCGTATAGCCAACTCGTTTAAGCTCTTTCAAATAGTATAGTGCGATAAAAAAGATTAAAATCGATATGAATACGATTTTCACTCATGATTATATAAGTTTTTTTTCTTCTCAAAGATTAAATGTAGTTAGATTTTCTTTCGGCAAGAATTCCATTCTCGATTCTTAGCAGATATTAGATGTATTGTAAATTAAAATTCGATTAAATAACTTTTCCGTTATAAATACCTGACACCGTAGAAGAAAAATAAGACGCTTCCATCAATTTCAGCGAATACTCACATATATATATGTATATAAAATACTTATATATATA